AAAACATCTAATCGCATTTTGTAGGTAAACTTAGCTCAGTCTGCTTGGGTAGTAACGCTTCTCTCCGGAACGAAAGGTTGCGACTACAAATCCTCAGACAGACATAAATGTTTTCTTCTAGTGATTGCGGTGCGGGAGACATTAATAAACAACTTTGCATCACATATAATTTATATATAATATATCAAAGCTAATTAACTCATTATTGTTTAGTGAATGAATGCTCTAAAACAGCCGAAAACCTGAAAACTAAGAAATAAAAATTCATGTGTATTCTGAGTCATGTATGTGACGCAAACATCTTTTCTAGATCGAGGAAGCGTTTCCTGTTACTACCAATTCATAATACGTTAACGTAAAAACCGTCAAGGCGAAGCCTGTAATTAACGAAGTAACCCTTTGTCTTCATTGCTTCGCTGGAGCAAACTGAAAAGATCAACTCAGTCTGCCTTACCCCATTCAGTTGTAGATGTTATGTTCTAGAAACTTGAATTCAAACAGACTGGTTCCACTTGTCTTCACGTGTAGAAGCTTCTGGAATTCAACTTCATATTAAACATTTCTGACCACGAAGATTCAAAAGTCCAGGACAAGAAAAATGCTTGAACTTTATATTAATTTTATTGAAGTTTGAAATATGATTTAAAATTCCTTGGAATCTTCACTACTTGCAACAATTTCTTTAAATTTTATATTCATTTAAGACAGACACGAAATGGCTCAAATATCAAATATTTTAGACAAATACCAGAAAGAGAAAGGTTTCAAAAAGTCTATTGACTCATTGTGGTAGTGCATGAAACACAGCGTATAGTTTTACAGTTCAGATGATTCAAGCTCAATTTATTCAAACTATGAGAACGCTAGAGAAAAGAAAATTTGTTTCAAAAATTGCGTTATGTTGTACAAACTTGTAAAGGATGTCCTCAAAGAAGATTTTTTTTTCTCCTGCAGGAATAATTATCCTGCTACACTGATACTATTACTAGAGGGTGGTCTATTTTATGAAAAGACAATTATGCTAATTGGAACGACATTCTTTATTCTTCTTTATAATTTTCTCCCCTTCTATTTCTCCTGCATATTTTCTTTCTCTTCTTTTTTTCTCTTTCCTTATTTTCTTTCTTCTCCCCCTCTATCTCCTTATTCTTTCTTCTCCTCCTTGTCTTTTCCTCCTTTATCTCGTTCTCCTCGTTATTATTATTCTTATTCTATTGAGGATTTTCCCTCTAAAACCATGAAGTACCTTCTACATTCCAGTGGGGTGTCTCCCAAATAGACATACACATGCGGGCGCTTCAGATCTGGAGACTCTTCTCGACACAACACACACGAAACACACGAGACAACAGCCATCAATGCTCCCGTGCGAGGGATTGTAACCCACGTCTCTTGAGATCGAGGCTGTAAGGTGGGTGCTCGTGTTGTAATGATTAGCACATATGCATCATTAATGGCCAGGTTCCATCCCTGGTAATATGTGTGAGACAAAGGGAGCTCCCAGCTTGTTCTTTCGGGGTTATTTTGTATCCATTGCCTCTCATTTCACCATTTCTCCATTACCATTAACCTCCTCTCTGTCGGTATCATCTACTCATTGGATCATAACGCATGTGACCCATAATAAATAAATAAATAAATAAACAAATAAATAGATAAATAAATTATTAAATAAACAAATAATTAAACAAATATTAAATAAATAAATAAATAAATAAATAAATAAATAAATAAATAAATAAATAAATAAATAAATAAATAAATAAATAAATAAATAAATAAATAAATTAAATAAATAAATAAATAAATAAATAAATAAATAAATAAATAAAATAAATGCATAAAACGAAAGGGATCAGTGGGTATACATAGCAAACCACCACGGTTATCCAGGCCGACGACCTGCCTCTACTTTCTTATTGAACCAAACTCTCCGCGGCGCACGTCGCCGCCTAGGCGGAAGCGCAACCCCGAGACGCGGCGCGGCTGAAGACAATCGGACGCGAGGGCAGCCCGGTTCCCAGGGCGAAGTGGGCTTCGTCGGCGGCGGCGTCCGAAACTGAAGGCGCATTGCTGCGCATGCGCGGGGCCGCTTTCGCGGATGCGCGCCGGCGGAGCGCTCGCGCCCCCGTTCCGCGCCGGGCCTTAATCGGACGCCCCACTTCGCCCGTGTGAATGGGGATTAACTCCTGTAAAATGGAAATTGATTGTGGCCCAAGGGGAGTCGAGCGAGGACGATTTCATTTACTCCCAATTTCTGGGACTTCCCGTCCACAAGAGCAGTTCTTACGCGCTTTTATAATGGGCGATTGCACTCCGTCTGTTTTAGATGGTTGTGGTCGTGGAAAATATTTTCCAGTGCTTGATTTTTTGTTAATTTATGTTCATGTCAAAGTTAATTCTAAAAGGAGTTCGGAGGAGAAACTCTGCATTTGTGCCAAATATCAAAACAAAGGATCCTCATCTTCTAATTTCATCCAAAAACGTCGAATATGAGCTTGTAATAATTGCAAAATATTAATGTAGTATGTCTATCTTCGGTCATACTCATTTGCGATTGAAACGTTTTTACAAGACATCAGGAGAGAAGATGAGTGTTATATCTCGCAAACAATGTGGTACAAAATTTGAAAAGCTACATTTTTTTATTGACAAAGTGATTCAATTATATCCCACACGAAAGGATCCACAAAATAGCTCGGACATAATCGTACGAAGACATTGCACTTCCTACGTACAAGTTTCCTTGTTACAGTTTCGGGGATCTGGTATACTCCCAACGCTTCTTTTTTTCTGTGTACAGTCCTCTCTGAAATGCCACTTCCTGGCAGGATTGATTCATTTGATGATTACTAGGAATTTCGGGCACGTGAACGACTAAGGTTGTTAGTCTCGTAAGTGAAGTGCATCTTTTTTCTCTGGAGGTGGAGGTTATTTTGCCACGCTGGAGGAAGAGAGACGAAGATCTGGCGCCGACCTACCGTCAACTAGCAGGGTTTTCTCGGCTTGCGGGAATGTTTCCCCAATCAGAAATCTCCCTTAAGTGGGGCACCGCCCAGCCGGGTCAAGCTCTACTCTCCTGACCGGTCTCCCGGCACTTGTGGAAGCTCAGCGAATGAAAGTGTGTCTGTAAGTAAGGATAAGGGTAGGACAAGAAATGGGAAGGAAAGATGTTGCGCGGCACTTGGCCCGTTTGGTAGGGTAGTACTGCTCCGACATTAATCTGGTATACATCGGAGAAACCACAGAAAACTACCAATCAGAGCAGCCGGCCGCTAGAACTCTCCTCCAGGCAGCGACAGAACTCGACTTAGCTATCTAGGAGCTAGTGTTGACCCTCACTCCACGTTCGGGACTCGAACCCAGCACGTCCCGGTTAGAGCAGTGACATCAGCTGATGCCCTGAGCCCCCTCTCCCGGTCTTCCCGGCAGGAAGCGCCTTGACCTCCCGCTTCCGGGACGGGGCGTCTCGCGCCCGTCTGTGCCTCCACTGTCCCGCGCAATCGCCTTCTCGATGTCCCGCGCCCCAAAAAACAGCGGCGCAGCAAGTGGCGGGTCGGGTTTCTTGCGCCGCCACGCGCGCCCTCCCACGCCTGGTGCGCGACGCGCGGCTGTTGCGCGCGATGCTTTTTGCGCGCGTTCAGTGATCTCGTAGGAATCAGGATAATTCGGAGTGTTTTTGTAGGTTACAAGATATTTTCTTTTAGACAATCTGGTTTACAGGGCTTGTTCAATAAAATGGAGCCCTAATTATTTTGATTGTATTGACCAAGTTCCAGATTCCTCTATTATGACACGCTGATCCCCGCCCTGATACTCGTATTTATAGCCACAAAACTATTCTTATATTTTCTTTTACAAAGACTGATTTATTGAAGGGGCTGCAACACCTCTGCCAGGGAGGTCATGAGCAGCCAGGCGTTAACGTATTTTCGACACTAGCTTCATAGCTAGATCAAATTGAGCCGGTGTCTGGAGGAATTCTAGAAAACACTGCTCTGATAGGTAGTTTTCCATGATTTCTTTGATCAATAACAGATGAACGACGAAGCAGCACCTTAAGAAACGGGTCACAGAACATCAGCGATATTTTTCTTTGTCATTCTTGCCCCCTCCTCTCCCCTGACACAAATTCGCATACACTATTATATATTCTTCCCTACCATCTATGTAGTGAGACTAATTGAAAGCATGCTAGAGCCTGTCCTGGAAGATACTTGGAGGGAAAAATCCCTCCAGGGTTTGCATTATGTCCATATTATTCAACCTCAGGTAGCCCTACTTCAAATGAATTGCATCCATACATTATTTTTTAATGTACTTTGCTTTACTCACACTGAACACCTTTTTAATAAGTTATAAATTGTTGAGTAGCTACGCGAAGCTACGGTGGAAGGAAAGAATCCATTTAAAATGCTAATGAGATAGAAATATTTGATTTATAAAGCGAGTAATCTATTTTTTTCGAAGCCGTTCCAGAAGGTTTAGAATGGCTAACACGAGCGTCTTGATACTCCCTCTCAAAAGCCAGCGCGGCAGTGCGAGGGGAGTCGAGTTGCATGCGACTGGCACGCGCGGCCGCCCACGCATGCGACACGCCGCGCGACTGTCGTGCAGCAAAACTCTTTCCGTTCGCTCGGGACGCGCGCTAGGATCTGGATGTTTGAGTCTTTTTTCTGGAAGTTTTCAGCTGGAGTAAAACCCCAATTACAAAAGAAATTATTTTCGTAGAAGAGGATAGCAAATGACATCAGCTTTTTAAAAAGTGTTTTGTGGTATGTTGCTTCTTAAGGTAATAAACAAGTATCGTGAGGATTTTTTCTTTGATTATATAGTTCCTGACAATTCAAATATTAACAATTGAATACAAGCTATTTGCAAATGCATGCACTATTCCCGACACACTATTTCTTGAAAAACTTCCACTCGTACAAGTTATTAAAAATTAATTCTTACTGGGTAACTGTTTATTTTCGCTTGTAAAAATCTAATTTTCTTACGCGAATTGCTTTCTTGAACACGTAAGATGTTGACAAACTAACCTAAAATATAAATAATATGCCAATAAGGTACGTGCAACAGTTTCGTTAAACGATTTTTTTTTAAATTTTTCAGAGTAATTCGTTTTGCCCGTGTGTTCAGCTCATTTTATGTTTTAATTTATTGTTCTTATATTCAACATATATTTATTTCTAAAAAATTCCACCATTTTCTCAGAACATTCTACATACCTATTTCTTAAGCAAATTCTGGGTTGCTCGAGATCCGACACAGATGTTGAAATATGAAGAATGTGTGAATGCATATTATTATCGCTGATGGGTGTTCAGTGTACACATGCATATTTCTCCATACCTCAGCCCCGTAATATGTGAACTTTTGAGCGATGTGGAAACTGAGAAATATACAACGGTAATTTTTGCAGCTAAATAAATATAACTTAAGGTAGTACGTGAAAGAGGAATTAGTCTTTTATTGTTTGCTGTAATTTGGTTACATTATGCATCTTTATTTTTGACAATCTCCTTTGTGTTCTTTACCATTTCTCCCTGTCTTTCTCTCTGTTTCTCAGACATACACAAATACTCGTCCTCTCATCCTCTCCCTCCC